CCACACTACCAGCGACTGCACATCAAGTTATGTGCTTCAGTAGCAACTCTCTGCACCACCAAGAGATCCCAACGATGATAGTGTCCTGACATTTATCTGACAGCTTCACATTCATGAAGCACATGTTGCAAAAAAATAAAAAAACTGGCGTAATGCTTGTGAAACCCAACTGTGAACACCCGTGTGGATGTTAAGGACTACGTTTGACTAATAATAACGCAGTAGAAAATATAAGGTTGGAATCCTGATAAAGTAGCTACAAAAATAAATCATGATACAGATGCCCTGATTGGAAATTTGCACATACTAAAAATGCTGGTCTTTTGTTGCCCTGTGACCTGGAATTTAATTTCCCCAAATGTGCATCTGATGCAGTAACATTCGTCACTTCTGAGAGGTTTTGATTACCCAGTCAAAAATGTTTTTTAAGGATGCAATACAGCACATTTGGTTTTCATGATCTTTCTTGCCTTCCCCCTTATGACTGATGAAGTTACTCGTGCAACAGCATCATAAGGCTTCTCCATCCTATTATACATTTTGGACGTCTGCTAAAAGTCCTTGCAGGTTTATAAATACACTTTATTCTGAATGGATCAGTATACTCCTTGCTAAATGATTTCTCTCTAAAAAGCTGTCAACTTCCGCAAAGGCTGTGTCCTGACATTCTTTAGATGAGATCCAATAAATCATCATATATGAAAAAAAAATGTAGGTAGACCATTGTCGGGTTTTCAATAACTCCTTATCATTTATTTTTTTAGTTGTTGGGGACAGAATGCCACAGAGTGGATCTAATATCAAGGGGCTCAAATCCTGAGGTTCCCTGTAATATTGCATACCTCACTGTTAACACAGAGCTACTGCTCACCCATCCTGTGAGGTTTTATAACCACTGTGATTAGAGTCCCTATAAAGCTGAGACCATGTCCTCATGCTCTTCTGAATTGTATGAGACAGAAAGAGAGACAGGAAGATTCGTGTGTCGTCTGTGTGAGGACGAAAAGATAGAAAGGCAGTGGATGTATATGCGTTTGTGCCTACGCATGTGCGTGTGTGCGTGTGTATGTGTGTGTGTGTGCATGTGGAGTGAAGTGTGTTACAAGGAAAGATTGGATCTGACCCATTAACTTTACAGGCCACTCATTGAGCACCGATGCAGTAGGGGTCAGTAGGGAGATTTCACTGTAAATCTCTGCAACGATCACAATGATAGACTAGAGAGAGAAAGATAGAGAGAGAGAAAGAGAGAGAGAGAGAGAGAGGGGCACAGCTTGAAACACTGTTCCCAACTCTGTCCAAAGCCAAGCTAAGTTTCACTTAGGATATCATCCCCTGCCAGCCAGCCAGCTGGACTTCCTTTTTTCTTTTGTTACTCATCTAAATGCTCGACAAAAAAACAGCTTACAACTTGGCCGTTTTCTGAGCACATGATGAGAGTACATTTTGGTTGTTTTTCAGCTGTGCCCTCTCAAATTCCCGCATTAAAAGAAGCTGTTTTTAGATGTGGCCTTTCTGGCAGTGTTAGGTCATGCACTGCGCACTCCAAAACATAACCTCAAAAAGATAGCTGATGGCGCTCGTATGAGGACACTCTGTGCCTCAAGAAAAACACAATCATCACATGTGTTGTGTAGGGGAGGTGAAGCGAAAAGAGAGACCTACGACCTGGATGTTTCTCACTCTCCTGTTTCTGCCCTGAGGCTAAGCTGATTTTTGGCTTGGTCACACCATAGATCTAACAACATCTACCTACCAACCCCCTGTGGGACTGTGGGACCATTATCTGACAGGACTTCTAACACACCCAGCCCTCCTTGATACTAGCTTCCTCTTTCTTTTCTGACATGAAATCACACTCTGCAACAAATCTTTCCACTGTAGATTATTAATAATTTAACCCCCTTGCCATACTGTCCACTGAATAATTGCTACAGTTATTCATGTATCTGATGATCCATTACCTGGAGAGCATCTGCTCTGGTAACCTCATCATTGCAGAAAACATACATCAATTCTTTTTTTTTCTTCATCTCTCAATAGTCTAAATTCTACCATGTTCACAATTATACATCCAATATAGCTGCTTTGGAGATATAGCAGCACAAAAGCCAAGCAAACAACACTGCATTAGGAATAATCAATCATGTATAGTAAAATGATCTAGAAAGCAGGATGTTACTGTATCAGTGAGCCTGATTTCATGCACCAGAATTCATTAGCATACACTTGTGGTTCTAATGCTTCCTGCTTTTTGCTTAGACAATCACATATTGCGCAGTGTAAAGCCAATCATGGTAATGGCTGCAGCCTTGGAACACTGGCCGCTCCAATCATCACCCTTGCTTTAGAGTACCTTGTTTTCCAGGCTTGACATTTGATATGTGATTGCAGCTTCCATTCAGTTTTGTTTTGATCATCAGAAAACCACCCACGCTGTTGGAGCCTTGATTGTTTGTTGCCCACAAGTACTTGACTGCAGTTCCAGTGCTCAGTGAGGTCGAGCTGGGCCTGGGCTGTTACTCTTTTATCTTTGAGTTTGGCTTCAGAGGGCAAGGAACTTGAGTTCAGTTATAACTGACCACTCAGCATTAGAAAGAAATAAAACCAACTCTCACCAGTGCATATATCATTCTGACCTGCATCCTTTCTGTAAGCTTGTCTTTTGTTTGCTTTTGTTCTTATCAACTAAAGCAAAAAAACAAAAAAACAACAACCTTGATATGATCTTTTTTTCTTTTGGCCACTAGTTGCTCCTAGTGAAAACATTTTAAGACAATTCTTAGAAGCAATTTCCCTTAAAGTTAAGACTATAGATCCTTGTAAAGATGAAAGTTATTCACATAGCTTCTTAGCCCTGAAGAGAGCTCCTAAGGTGTAAAACTGTTGCAAAGAGAACTTTAAACAGGCTTAAGAGTTTCTCAAGCCGAGGAGGAAATGGAGAAATGTTCTCCAAACACCACATGAAGAATATTATTGACTCATATTTGGTCCGAACTGACAAAAATTATTTATGCAGACATATCATTGTTGAGTTTCTCTACATGCGTTCACATCCACAGGTGTATCCAATCACTAAAGGCTCTTTATACGCTGATTGAACTCTCAGCATGTGAATAGGCTGCTGCACAATTGGGCATGTGATTTTCTTTACTTTTAAAGTATGTCTTACAAGTTATCACACAGAGATGCTAATTTCATAGCGTTTTCACCGACTTTTTAATGCCATGCCCCAAGGACAAAGTATGTGTGATTTCTGAAGCTGATGTTTGAAGGCAGCAGGTGATAGTCTAGAACATTAACTAAGAGTAGAGCAAGTAGAAGATGCTGTTCACATTGAGTAAAGTTTCGCTGCTTTATACTTCTTCCTGTTGGCCTCAGTTGCCAGTTTTATGTTTATCCTTCTTGTGTTTGTATTGCAGAATTGTCCTGATGTTGTGATGTTTACCCTGGAAACAGCCCCCCATTACTAGATGTTCCTTCTCTTCCTACTGTATGGTCTACCAAATTGGCTATTTCCAATTGTAAGTGACCCGTACAACACAATCAATCTCTGTTGTGTTCTACAATTGTAAGCAAGCCTAAAAAATGTCAGGCCCTGAGTGTCTGGAATATGTCTGGAAATCTTTCAGAGTTCATGTGTAAAAGGGACTTGGGGTAATAGTTTACCAAACCACAGGTTAACTGCTGTGCAAATTGAAGCTCATGAAGCCAGATCAATGCGATTTAACGACATTATCTTTTGTCTGTCTCTATTTTTTGAGTGAGTGATTTTGTGCCATTAAAATAAGATTACATTTATTTGACAGTTAGCGATTCACATAATTACAGCAACATACACAGGCGTTTTAGTGGAGCAGCAGAGCAGAGTGAGTAATTACAATGTAGGACAGGTCACTAGGCCTGTGGTTCACCTCAACCCTTAACACTGCAGCTATTCTAGACCTCTGGGAAAATAACAAGGGCCACTCTCAGAGGCCAACTTCAGCTACCAGGCTATGAACATTAATTACTCACAGGGGCAACACACAAGTGCAGATTAGACTATAATTGGTGGGTTTGCCTGCTCGCATGAATCAAGGAGAGCCTCTGCTGACCACCGTATCAGTGACTGATTATAAGGATTGGGTTCTTTCACTCAGAGTGCACAACAAATGAAGTGCCGCAAATAAAAATGTGAGTTATTTGTTTTGCACACATGTCAAAGTGATTATGCACTTGGCAGGGTGTGTGAGGTTTATGGTCATATAATGGATATTATGCAGGGGAGGAAAGGAGGGGGTTGGGAGCATTCCAGCATATTCTGTTCGCATACCGTGACTTAGACTTGGTCCATATGTGTCCAACTGCTCCCATTTTAGTCTAATTACTCTTTTTCTTTTTTAACTTGCACTTATTCTAGGCCACTATCTTAAGATTTACTTTCACTGCTTTGTTTGAATTTTTTGTAAATGCCGAAAGCTGTTAAAATTAGCTTGTGTTTAAATAGCTGACTTAAAAAAAGCTACAGTAAGTCAGTTAGAAAGACCTCATTGTGTCTTTAAATGTGCTTCTCTCATGTCCTGAAATAAACTTTCAATTTCACTGAATGACCTCTTGTTTTTATATTTGTTCAGTCAAAGCAGTGATTTGGCAAGACCAGAAAACCCCAGCATTCCAGGTTCAGAATTATTGGCAGACTTGACTGAATTATGAATATTCCAGTGTTATATAATCTGTTACAAATCACCAGCCGGTTTCCCAGAAGATGGTTATGGCGCAAAATGTTGTCACAAAATGTACTGGCCCAAGACAAACATGTAGCAACATAGACACACACAGAGTTTAGTACAAATCAAACACTGTTGTGTTCTGATAATTTTCCCTGCAGAGCTACATGCATTCCACCTTTTGCACATGGAGTTTCCCAGTTTAGTCAGATTTCACACTGAGCCAATGGAGGGGTTGGGCTGTTACAAAAACTCACGCAGATTTTCTAGCACACACTTAGAATCTGTCAGTCTGAGAAGTAATGGGTTAGTAGAACAGACACTCGGGCTTCAATTTCTGACACTTTTCTTCCTTAGGCAACTTGAAGAGCTATTACTTTGAAGGCTATTACTTTTGTAAAATCTACCTTGAACTGGAGACATTAGTCCGTCATATTTCAGGACAGCTGTCTGGCTTTGACAGATATCTTGGTGGATTGTTTTGATCACAGGAGATATCTTCACTGTTTGTGTCAGACTCGCCAACGGACAGGTTGAGCAGCATGTCAAAGGAGGAGAAACCAGAGAGCGTGTCGCTGTGTCCCTTGGGTGCAGCACCTGCACCTGAACAGGAGCTGCTGTGCATATTTGGGACGGGGGATTTAGGGCGCTCCCTGGGCCAGCGTCTGCTCCAGTCTGGATACAGGGTGGTATACGGCAGCCGCAGACCTCACAACTGTGGCCCCTTACCTCAGGGAGCTCAGGTACAACACACTAAATGCATAATGTTTTCTCCAATCTACATTTATCTATTTCCCAGCGTTTTGATGACTGCTGGCCTTGTCACTTTGATTAGGATTTCAAAGGGGGAAGAAGATTGTGGATAAAATAAAAGTGCAAAGCTAGTGGAAAAAAAGTTGACACAACGTCACTGATGTTTGTCTGTACATGTTACTGTTTGGTTTGCATTGTGTTTTGTGCAGTATGTTTTTAATGAATGGCTCCATCACAAAACATGTTAAGCCAGTTTTAAGTACGTGTGCTGCCCAATGTGACGCTGCGTAAAAGTAGTTCTGTGGTTTTGTGTGTTTGAGCAGGTGATGAGCCATGAAACAGCAGCCCAGTCAGCCAGTCTGGTCTTTCTTTGTATTCACAGAGAAAACTATGACTTCCTCACGACTCTTGCACCTCAGCTCAAGGGAAAGGTATCTATATTTGTTAAATCAGTCACCTTTCTGTTACCAAAAAGTTGTTGAATTTCTAAGTCTTTTTTTTTTATCCACTCTACTGATTTTATTGAATGCAAGGTGCTGGTGGACGTCAGCAATAACCTGAAGAAGAATCTATACCCAGAGGCCAACGCAGAGTATCTCCAGAGGTAAGAGGAAATTATAATTCCATTACCTTTACTATTAGCGGTCTCATACATCATGTGGTTTCAATCTCAAACAACTGGCGGTACAAGATGCAAAACAGAGTTTGTTGTTTGTTGTGCAGGCTGATCCCTGGAGCACATGTCGTGAAAGCTTTTAATACTTTGTCTGCCTGGGCCCTGCAGAACGGGCCCTCAGATGCCAACAGACAGGTAATAAATATGCAGTTTGTAAGTGTATTTCCAGTCAGATGTTTTAAAATATCTGACACTTCACTCTTCTTTGTCTGCTTCTTAGGACTGCTTCTATTTTTCCCTAATGGGGACATATCTTATTTTAGAAATTCATTCTGTGTGTATTCTTCTTCTAATGCAAAACTACAAGCTTTTTTTACGATTCCCTATTGTGTTCACACAGTGGGGTGTTGACCAACAAGTTAAAAATAATAGTCGCTTTCAGAGAGGAAAGCATTTCAGTCCAAACTATATTAACTCATTTTGAAGTTTTGATCAAACCAAATCCAAGTAAAAGAAGCCAAATCGGAGGAGTCAGCCTTGTCTTTACTGTGAGTGCCATCCTTGATGTATCCTTGAATCAATTAACTCCACAGTCGCTCTCAGATCTGAGCTTCCATCACTTGCTTTGCTCTCTCACTCTGTACTGAAAAGCTGCAGCATATGTGGGTTTGTCTGTTTCGTTTGTATCTGGTTTGTACAATCCCAGAGGACGGTTAAAACCACACAGGAGAGAATGTGTGTGTGCTGTAGAGGGCATATGTTTAAGTAGTGGAGTGTGTCGGGGTATTCAGAACAAAGTCATCAAACTAACATAGGCGTTTAACTGAATTCATTTTCGTATTCCATGCAGAATCTTCTGGTTCTTTTGTATTTGAAAATAAATGTACAAAATTGGCACATGAGCTTTAAGAAAAAACTTGCAAAGGTATTGGTGAATGATGCCTCTAATTATGATCCAGGTCTATCTGTGTGGAAACAGTGTGGAGGCCAAGCAGGCAGTAGCAGAGACTGCATCCAAGCTTGGCTTCGCTGTTCTGGATAGAGGGTCTCTGAAGGCAGCCAGAGAGCTGGAGGACTCCCCTTTGCTGCTGTTCCCTGAGTGGAGGCTGCCGTTACGCCTGGCCGTCGGCCTCACTGCCTTCTTCTTCTTCTATCTGCTCATTCGAGATGTCGTCTACGCGTATGTTGACCAGGGGAAAAACAACTCCTTCAGAATAATGGTGTCACTGGCTAATAAGGTAAATATTTGTTCCTCTTCGAACAGTAGCCTCAAAGTGTGATTAATAGAAGAAAAGTCACAAGGATCTAGTGCATGATATCCTTTCTGTAACACCTTCCGTGTTTGCCCTCCATCTTTCAGGTGTTTCCCATTGTGTCTCTCATCATGCTGTCTCTGTGTTACCTTCCTGGTGTCATAGCTGCCATATTTCAGCTGTACAGAGGAACCAAATACAGGTCAGAAAAAAACAACAACAAGGGATGGATATTATTATGAATCTGCACAGAGGTGTATACTATTTCCATCATGTTCTAAATATTGCGTCAACCAAATGAAACTGTATGTGTTTCAGGCGTTTCCCTGACTGGTTGGATCGCTGGATGCTTTGCAGGAAACAACTGGGACTGTTAGCACTGGGCTTTGCATCTCTACATGTGCTCTACACTCTTATCATCCCCATAAGGTTTGTAACAGCGTATGCTAGTACTCCCTCTTTAACGTATCTGAACGGGATTGTAAATGTTGTTTATTTCCTCCAAAACAAATAGTGACACCTTTAAACTTGGAGGTAATTCAAACCTTAACTTTAACGACAGGCAGTTTCCAGTTTTAATACAGGAACTGGTGCTGAAGCAAATGCAGTGAACTAATGCCAAGCAATACGTTTTACCTTTGGGGAAGGTTTTAATATTTAGATCGTGTTGAAACTGTGTTAGTGATCTGGTGCCTACACTTAACCTTTTCTCTAGATGTTGTGGTTTGTGCTGCTTTTGAGTTGTGTAATGTTAAGGGTATTCAGATCATATTGTCCACACTTGGTTTAAAGGTTATTATATAGACTGTAGCTTAATAGCAGTCAGACCCCACAGAGGATAACAACATGTTACCTTAGAACTCATATTGTAGAAATAGCTTTTAGTTTCTTAAAAAAGATCATACAGGAGCTTTATTTAACCTGAAATAGTTAGAAACCTAGAAGGGAAAGAATTTTGGGGAGAGCCAGTGATTGACAAAAATACAGAATTACACAGGAAGAAATAAATAAGAGAAGTGGTGGTTACTTAGTAATAACCATGCTGATCTAGTGTCTTTCTGGCATAAACTCATGATTAGTCTACCAATGAAAATGTTGTCTCTTTATGGTGTTGTGCCAAGGTGCATATTTTACAGACTGGGCTTATCAACTGTAAATAGCCTTCCTTGTTTTCATATTTAGCCATGTTTTGAAACCACATGTTTTCAAGTAATTTCCATAATTTTTCTTATTTAATATGTTTTTGTGTTTAGCTTGCATTTTACTGTTTTTAAAATGTATCTTAGTGACTATTTCTTTTGTGTTGCACTTTGTGCTCTTTGCTTAAAAACCTCTCTACAAGAAAATAATCATATACGCTTGGTTAAAAAATACATTCAATAATTCTTACAAACTGGAGTAGTTTCCATTACTCTAGATAAGCGGAAGAATGCATCTTAATTTCCCGAACAACTTGTATCTTAATAGTTTGTCATTTTCATCCCCAGATATTATGTGAGATTCAGGATTGCTGCAAGCACCATTTCAAAGGTAAGCCAAGCAAGTAAAAAATAACAACAACCATTCAAAGCATTCAGTTTGCATGAAAAAAATACATGCCTATTTATGTCCCAAATTCCTACAATTTCGGATAATTTGGTTCTTTTTCCAATCTTATAAATACAGTTAATAAGAACCCTTTGGTTGTTTGATATCATTTCCAGATAAAGGAGAACCAAACGTCAGAGTTTGACATCACCTCAGCCTGGCGTGGTGACTCTTACTACTCTATGGGGATTCTGGGATTTTTCCTGTTTTTCCTGCTGGGAATAACCTCTCTTCCCTCAGTCAGCAATGCTCTCAGCTGGAGAGAGTTCAGCTTCATACAGGTAGATACTGGCATGTGTGTCTGAGCCGTATGAGAACTGGATGTGTCCGAATATGAGGCACAGAATACAGAGCTCCACTTTTCTTGTGAAGAATGCAGCCCTTTTAAAATTATCTAAATCCCTGCATCCTGTTTACTGCTCGCTGGCGGTCAAAACTCAGGACTGTGGATTTTTTTTTTTTAATAACCTTTTCCACTGGAGCTAGCCCTGTGGTCTCCTTAGCAATCTGTCTAACAGCTCTTGCCTAAGCGTATGTTTATGTTTGTGCCTGCGTGTGGTATAACAGGATTTACTAAATAACAGATTGTGTTGTTAATGCATTTCAGCTGAATATCACAGAATTCTAAAACCTTTTATTTGAAACCTAAACTGACTTCAAAAAAGTAAACACAGATGAGCCTTCACACCTTTTGTATCCAACCAAATAGGCACTTGAGAAGGAAACTGAAAGGCAGACAAGCACATAGCAGCTCATTTTAGAGCCACCTCTATGATATTTAATGAGCCAGCTTGAGACAGAGTGAATACAAACAGGCTCATTGTGAAATTTAATTCAGAACAACTGATTAGTTCACCTCTACAATGTGGCCTTGAAAAGCTGCAAATGACATGTAGATTGATGATTCATTTAACACAGTGATGCATAATCTCAATAATAAATGGACTCAGCGGGTATCGACTTATGATGGGCAAACTGAAGTCACTTGGAAGTGCATTATGAAATGTTCTATACACTGTCTCTTTGGATGCTGATTGTCAGTAAGCAAATACATTTAAAAGGAAATTTATGAACCTAAAATGAATGTGGAATCATCAAAAAAAAAAGTCTTTTTTACAATTTCCATTCACAAAGATTCAAGTTACAGCAGATTCTGAGCCTCAGCAAAATGTAAAATAGGTGTGTGAGCCAGATAGCAAAGTTCCTGTTAAAAGTGCGTTAGTGATATTTTACATTTTCCATGGTAATTTGATTCACGCTGATACAAATGTTTACCTTTTTTTTTTCAGCTACTTTTGACCAATTGAAAATTAAATCAGCTCCTCACCACAGGGAACAAACTCATTCATAAATGTAACTGGGTCATGTCAAGCTCTTTTTATTTTTTTTTCAATCCGCAGCCCTCCTCTTTACTCTCGCCCAAATTAGAGCTGTGCTCTAAATGTTAAGTTATTCATCAAATATAATTTAGGGGGCATACATTATCCTTGGCCACAGTCTTTAGATTTGTGTTCATGTGCGTTGCATGGATGCTTTTAAATGTGTGAGCATGTGGGTGCATGTTCTCTCTATATATAAACCAACGTATCTCCACAAGGTGATGAGTGTGCTGGTGTGTGTGCACATGTGTAGGTCAAAAGCTTGTCTCTGTAAAGGTCGGTCTTTCACGTTTCAGCTTAGTGAGCCCATTACACAGCGATTAGTCATGTGTTTAATGGCGCATGTGGAATCATGTGGATCTGTGAATGTGCACATCTTCAGCGTCTGTAAAGGTGTAACTGTTTTTTTTTTCCCTCTCTCTTCCAGTCCAAGCTGGGGTACCTGGCATTGTTCTTCTGCACCTTTCACACCTACCTGTACGGCTGGGACAGGTTCCTTCATCCCTCCACCTACAAGTGGTACACACCTCCGGGCTACATGCTCTCTCTTGTGGTGCCGTCGGTAGTGCTGATATTTAAGCTTCTGCTCATCCTGCCCTGTGTGGACAAAACACTCACACGCATCCGACAAGGCTGGGAGAGATGCGATCCAGAGGAGGACGCCAAGAAGTCGCTGCTAACATAGAACTGTCACTATTCCAGAAAATGAAAAAACAATGCCATGTAAAAAAAAAAAAAAAAAAAAATCAGGATGCAAAGTCACCACATGATATAACCGTGAAACAACCATTTACAATTGTTCCAGTCTATACTGTCAACATAAACATCGGACATTAAATCAGATCAGTCTCTTATTCCACTTTTTAAACAGTTTGTAATACAACATTATGGAGGTTAATCAAATAACTTTATGGGATTTGGCTAGAAAAAAAAGAGTCTAAGGTGTGCACAGATAACGATCTCATGTGCACCAGGAACTATCACATGAGCATAAGAATGTTTCGGATGCTTATGGAAAGGTATTGCGTGCGTAGGAGATAGTTTCTTGTTCTCATGAGAAAATATTGCATGTGCATGAGAAAGTTCTCCAATCACTAGAAAGTAAAGTAATGTTTGTGCACCTAAGGGTTTCTGCCATTCTGTCTCAGAGGATGATCTCTTGCCATCTCTGTTCTCTTGCATTGTGAGCATGTAAAACCTTCTTGTGAGCCCAAGAACATTTTTTTGTGAGAACAAGAAATATTCTTGTGAACATGGATTAGTTTCTGATGTGTACCAGAACTGCTTTATGTCATTACTTTCCCTTTCAAATAGGATTGTTTTTTCACAGTTTTACTGTACATGCTGTACTTGTGTCTATCAATGTTACAGTCTCTAGTTTGAAGATCATCAACTTTTTTGTAATCCCCTCAACAACATAGCAACATTTTAACCCCCTCAGATTTTTATACCTTTAATTTTCTCAACTTTTTCTTTTTCTACTGTATTTGGCAGCTCGTGTTTATTGAATATAAAGTGCATATTTTTTATGTAAAATTTAGATTTTAAGATAAAATAAAAGCAAAATAAATGAATAAAAACATCAGCCTCTCTCTCTCCATTCCATAAATCTCATCTTGTCTGAAAGCTCAGTCAAACTCAGCAGTTTTTCCCCGCTGAGTTGAGAGTTCTCTGTCTCATCGTCTCGGTCTGATCCCTCTCCAGGGTTCATCCCCCTGGCTGATCTGTTGCTGTTCTCCAGGAAACATTCACTCTGAGCTGCAGGCTTCTCCCCAGTCACTACTGGATCTCATCACATCAATGAAGAGAGGAGCGTGCAGACTCCATTACTGAAGTCCTCTGCAGAGAGGAGGTTATATTTGGCTGTGTCGGTACAGATAGGCCCTTGATGTCAAGCTACAAGTCATTTCAGTTGATCCTGGATGGAGTGAAGACACCAGATAACTATGAGAACTCTTAGTTGTTATTGGAACAGGGTCCAAAATTAATCCATAAACATTGACAAGAAGCAATACAAATATGCAGCATGTTATTATGTGCTCAATTGTTAATGATGAATCTAAAATAAAACTGATAAAACAAAACTCCTGACTGTCTCCTGGATAAGATCATTACATCCAGTCAGTAGCTCCCAGACTTTGGAATGCTCTGCCTGTGCCGTTGCGCTCTGCTGAATCTGTTTGTAATTTCAAAAGTCAACTTAAGACACACCTGTTTACGGTATACACCTGTTTACCTATTACGGTAATTCTAACTACACCATTATTACTACTCTTTATTGTATTTTATGTCTTTGTAAAGAACCTTGTGGCTAATGTCTTTGAAAAGTGCTATAAAAATAAAATGTACTTACTTACATGTAATGCACATGTATACTCATATATACTGTAACAAGCTAGGGCAAGAACATATCTTTGTAGTTACTTGAGGAAAAAAAGTCAGTGGATTTGTCAAGTTTGAAAGGTAAAGGGGATATCAAAGACATTTTGTTAACTCTATCCTCTCTCTCTTTGTTCAGTACTTGAGATTTGTTGTTTTTAGTAAGACTCTTTAAAGCTTCAAAGCCTTTTTTCATAAATCATGAATGATAGGTTGGCAACTTGGGGAGCATCCAGGCTGTAAGATTGAAAGATTCAGTCCTTTACATTTTTGAAAATGAAAGGTCCTAATAATTACATTTTTGTACTTGCTTTAGAATTTTCACTAATTATATATTTTAATTTAAAAGATACACACGAGCAACCTGAGTGTGTGTCGCTATAGAAGTACAAATCTTAAGATAAAAACTTTATGATATCATTAATAGCTATTCTTCAAAAAGTGCCCAATTGCAGAAAGCTGGAACTCCAGATTATTGAGTTTTGACAATTGACATATGACCTGTCAACTTTAGAACAAAATGATCAATGTCCTGTGAAGTCAAACATTTTGTGATTTATGATTTATTTGTTCAACTTTAAATCTAGCATAATCGGTACAATTCTCTAATGTTAACGTGGTCATCAATCAATCAATCATTATCAGTATCGCGCATTATTTGTATTTTTTAATATTAGAAAAGAGCAGGTAAAAAGATATTACTCATTTTTATATGTTACCAAAAGCATTAATCAATCATGAGCGTAGAACTTAGCAAAGTTACAGTGGCAAGAAAACAACTTTAAATGCTGTGATTTACCATGTTGAAATATACAATACACAAGTACTTCTTATGGCCTTAGTGTGTAAATCACTCCTCCTAATTACGACCTACCATGTATGCCAGTGTATTACTATGAAGTACCTTCCATTTTTCTAAGAAACTAAAGTGAAACTGGACTGGAAAAGGAAGCATGATTTGTTGCCAGCTTCAAGGATGTTTAGACTTCAAAGACATTTTTATTTTTATTTTTTACGTTTGAATTTGGTCTTTTTCTACTCTTACTACTTATCCTTTGTAATTATATGCCCCCTCCCCCCAGTTGTTTTACATGTTTCTTGTGCAGATATGTCCACCATTTATCAGTAACTCATATTAATAATATGCAATGCAGAATAAAGTCTATGTCAACATGAGGGTTTATTCTGTTGATTCAGCAGAAACTACTTTTTTTAATTTAATATTTTCTATTTTTTAGATTCTGCAATCAAAAAATGAAGAAGTAAATCAAGGAAGGAAACATAGTTTAAACATAGATGTACAAATGAAAAAAGGGAACAAGTGAGTTTACATAAACTCACAATCTTTTTCCCTGCTGCACACACAGTTCAAGCACAGATTTGAAGGTAAGATCTATGAAATACTGCACATACAGGAATTGGAAGTTATTGTATCATAAACTGCATAAATACTTTTTTTTATAGCCATCCAATACAAAGAAAAGATAAATCATTTCTGATCTTTGGCACACACAATATTTATTGGACCTCAAAGTTAAAGAATTCATAGAAATCATTTTGTCTTTAACATTGTTTTTTATTTTTGTTTGTTATTAGATGAAGCTGCTGATGCTGTTAGTGTTGTTGACAACATGCACTGCAAGTCCTCAAGGTAAAAAAAGAATCATTGTTTGAAAGAGAAAAAACAGAAATAAAATGTGTAGTCACATTCAAATGTAAAAAAGTGTGAATAACTCTCAGTTGAAGCCTACATTTAGTCTTTTCCATTATAGACCTGTTTTTTCAAAAATCTTTGAGGTACAAGACAAAATCTTTTTTTTTCTGAATGCATTTTGACAAAGCATTTCCAGGGTGTTTCAAATTATAAATAATGTGGAATATAATGAAAAAAAAATGAGAATGTTCAATTGGAGAAAAGACCTGAGAAAGCCCAAAAATCTATGAAAAATTGAACATAGTTGAGGGTTTTATTCAACATACAGCATATTGTGGTTGTCTATGATTCTTGCAGTTAACATCTCATCTCCAAGCTTTTAGATTTTATTATACATTTTGAATGATAGATATGCCACATGTGGAGTAATGCTAACATGAATGCCAACAGGTTCAAGAGTCGGTGATTTCTACATGTTCCTTATTTAGTTTATGGTGACTTTCTTTCAAAATATACAAGTTTGTTCGTTTCCACAATCTAAAGCGCAGCTTTAATAAAGATGATGTATTATGTTTTGAGAAAACCTTTAAATATGTTTTTTTTTAGTGGAATATATAATCTATTCTTACAGAAATATTATTAAATATATTCCTCTCTTTCTCTCAGATCTTTCAGGTAAAATGTTCACCTTCCCTCTGAAAACCAACAACGCTCATGTGAGACTGTTGACATCTGTAGATAGTTTGAGTGCTTTTACTGTCTGTCACAGGTAGAACAGAATAAGAGAATTGTATCAAAAACATAAAAAACACTACTGAATCTCTGATTGTGAAAAGCATCACAACTGATGATTGTTTTTTTTTTTTTTTTTTACTTATGTCCAAAGGTCCTTTACAGACCTGAAGAAAGATCATTTGCTTTTCTCTATGGCCACGCTTTCTAATCCTAATGCCTTCCTGACATTTTGGGATGCAACAAATAAGGAGATGGAGGTCCACATCAGGGACAGAACAACTGATATGGCAGGGCTGGACTACAAGCTGAACATGTGGCACTCTATTTGTACCACATGGGACTCTACAGCTCAACTGGTGCAGCTGTGGTTTGATGGAAAACCTTTGGTTAAGAAATTCACCACCTCTGGAACAAGAATGCAAGGACCCTTTATAATAATTTTGGGACAGGTACAGTAATACCAATAAGGATCAAAGTAATGGTCTTCTTATCAATGTTGTATTTCTTAAATTCAAATTTATTGTGCCTTCCTCATGTACATGTTTCGCTAAGATTTTGATTTAATTTACTGAATCTCAGTCTTCTTTCATGTCTACAGGAGCAGGATTCACACGGTGGGGGGTTTGACATTAATCAGTCATTTGTTGGAATGATGTCTGACGTCCACATGTGGGACTACACCCTCTCTGCTTGTGAGATTCACAACTACATGGACGATCTAAACTTCACTCCAGGCAATGTGCTCAACTGGAGGGCGCTGGAGTTCCAGACCTTTGATAGAGTTTTGGTAGAGAAAGAACAAATGACCTGTCAATAAATTTTATGTTAAATACCAACGATATTTGAGAATTTTAGAAATGTACCTTTCTGTAATTAAGATCCAGCATAGACAGAGAATCTCATAAGACACAATTAGGAAAAATGCCAGGGTAACACAATTTAAATGGGTTTGTATTCATACAGTGGCTGTCAAGTGAAATAGTTGAAAATCGTACATTAAGACAAATGTGCAGTAGAAACAAAGCAAATAAAAAAAGGACATTGAAAGTCCACAACAAATGCAACAATTTAAATGTGCTGCAAATGAAAAAAAAAAAAAAGCTGCCAAAAGCTGAAATAACTGCATTAAGTCAGGGGAACAGTTGATTATTAATGGGAGAGAGTGAGGGAGGCGAGGAAGTAAAGGTATGGTTTGGATGGGACAATGACAGTTTGCTGACAGGGAGTGTGAAGGCTACTACCAATACAGCAACTAGGAGATTCAAAGTGAGTCCCGCCATTTATGCGTTTAATTAAATGTTTTGGTGTTTCATGAAATTATTTTTGTTTTGTGACACATTTTCATGTTTGATTCAATATGTTTGTGTTTTGTGAAATATTTCTGTCTTCATTAAATAATTTTTCATTTGGTGAAATGTTTTTGGTGTTCTGTGAAAGGTTTTAGCAGTGGACCTCCTGAGGCCACCTTACATTTAGATTATCTAATTTATCAATATCATGCACAAAAATGTATCTTTTTATGTATGTATGTATCTTGTATGTAAAAGTTAACTGTATCTACATTTGGTAAAGTGGAACATGTATAACTCTTTTTTTCTGTTCTGTAGTCTCTTTCTTGAAGAGAACCTTAAAAGCAATATGGGAAGCAACTTGAGTTAATACGTGACCTATGGTGCTTAAGAACAATTTTGAGGTTCTTCAGTATTTTGTCTGTGAACACTACTATTATACTTATAATCAAAGGCACACATTTGACTTTTTACTCCATTACCATGTTATGGATGGGTTGGAAGTTAACACTTCACAGTAAGGTACTCCACTGCCCAGCTCGACAGAGTCGCCAATACCCTGCCTCCCAGGGTCTTTGATAAAACTGCAACCAATCATGTCTGGTCACCAATTTGTAGCTCACTCCTGTGCCTATGATCAAGCTGCCCCGGCTGATCCCTGTCCTCATGATCCAGTCGGCTCGCTAGCTACTCCTGTCTCTGTGATCCAGTCAGTGCCCCAGCTGACTCCTGTCTCCTAACTAAAAGGAGGCTGTTCAGGCCTATTCTCAGCACCAATCTCCTCATCTCGTCTGCAGTCACTGACTCTCAGCTGGAATCCCCATGAACTCAAGCCCCCAGAAAGTCCCAGCCACCAATTTCTCGTCGTTATGTGGGTTTTCCAGCTGATGTCTAAGTCTGCAGTCTGGGGGTCCCAACCAATGTCTCTCCAGTTCCTGATCCTCTTCCAGTCTGGCCTGTTGTTGATCCAGTTTGTGAGGATGCTCATGTTGCCAGACCAGTTCCTTTTTTGGACCAGCTGGTCAACAACCCTCTTAGTTCTCCATTGGTGATCAAGCCAACACTCATCCCTGCTCTCTGTCAGAGGGTTTGTCATCACTTGTAGCTGATCCCCTGGATACTCTCAGTTCCTCTCCAGCATCAAGGCTGTTTTGACATTAAACCTAGCTATTCTTCTACTCCTAGAGCAATATCCTCTGAGCTCCTCCATCCATCCTGTTTTCTTGTTTCCAGAGAAACATATTGGAAAGTCTGGAATCAAGACTTTTTTTCTTTTGATTAGTTTTGATTCAGTTCTTTCATTGTTCATTAACCATTTACGTTCGATTTGGTCTTTTTCTACTCTTACTACTTCTCCTTTGTAATTATATGCCCCCCTTCCCCCAGTTGTTTTACCTGTGTCTTGTAAGTAACCTGTTTCTAATTACACATTGTGTATTTAAACTCTCTTTAATCCCATTGTGAATTTGTTTCCAAACCAATCATATCTTTCATTTCTGGGTAACTCATATTAATAATATGCAATGCAGAATAAAGTCTATGTCAACATGAGGGTTCATTCTGTTGATTCAGCAGAAACTATTTTTGTGATAATGGTTTCTATTTTTTTAGATTCTAGAACCAAAAAATGAAGAAGTAGATAAAGGAAGGAAACATAGTTTAAAGATGTACAAATGAAAAAAAGGAACAAGTGAGTTTACATAAACTCACAATCTTTTTCCCTGCTGCACACACAGTTCAAGCACAAATTTGAAGGTAAGATCTATGAAATACTGCACATACAGGAATTAAAAGTTTTTGTATCATAAACTGCTTTAAGTGTTTTTTATAGCCATCCAATACAAAGAAAAGATAAATCATTTCTGATCTTTGGCACACACAATATTTATTGGACCTCATTCATAGAAATCATTTTGTCTTTAACATTGTTTTTCATTTTTGTTTTGTTAAAAGATGAAGCTGCTGATGAAACGATATACATTTAAAAAAACACTCAGCATATATAGAAACGCTGCACATTCAAAAGCAAATGCAAACTACCACAACAAATGCAAAGGCTGAAACACGCTGCAAACGAAACAAACGAAACAAACGCGCTGCAAATAGGCAAAATAACTGCATAAGCATCAAACGCGCTGCAAGTACAGAAACAAAACTTAAGTCAAAACACACACATCCAGAAAACAACTGCAAACACAGAAACGCTGCAAGTTCAGCCTTAAACGGAAGTGCTCCAGGCTTGTAGGGGCGCTGTGGAACTGTTCATTTCGGTTTATTTACGGGATAGAGTAAGAGAGACAGCTAGGATCAGAAAATTATGTTTAGATAGGGAAGTTATATAGATATATAGTTTAAAAACGGTGGAGACCATCGGCTACATGGTTAACTAACTTCTTCTGGCGTACCGGGGCTGCTCTCATTGAATCCCCGCTCAGGTCACTCACAGATGCAGGGGGGAGACGGGGAGGGGATTTTAATTAAACACCACTGGAGCCACAAGACTCCTCTTACTGGAGCAGCGTTTCACCGGGGTTCTGCTCCATTGTTGGTTCGATTGTGCGCAAACACGACTTTATAACATGTAGGGGGGGAAAACACAACTTTGAGAAATGAGGTCTTGTTGAGCGGTAGCTTTGCTAAGTTGGCTGCCCGGCTACCGGCACCGTTGCCCGGCTTGAGTAGGCTACGGGACTTCCGTCTGCCAGGATTTTGAACTTGTCAGGCAGAGGGCTCTCCGTGGGTGAAGTGTCAGTGTTTGATGACAGGGAGTAATGTTAAACTGTTGCAAAGAGATGAGTGGCGAGTTCAACCCGGACACCGGGGATGGCGAAAGCACGAAGTGTCAGGCTGGTAAAGCGGGTGCAGAGGGAGTTGGAGCTGGAGCTCATAGCCCCAGAGCTAGCACTAGCTCCAGGCATCCCGGGGCTACAGCCATGCTTATGCAGTTGTTTTGCCTATTTGGTCTGTACTGTGTTTTCTAGGCAGCACATGGCGACCTTGAAGGTGTGTCAGAACTTTCAATGGAGCAAGATGGGCTGCTCCTTCTCTTCTGAGACTCTCTGGCCCTGGGCAGTAGAGACTCTCTGGCACTGGGCAGATGAGAATGGTTTGCGCTGGGAAGAAGGAACTCTCCTCTGCTGTTGTGCAACACATCTCAGCCTACCAGGGATCTGTTGGATGAAACCAGATAGCGACAGATCCAGTCTGCTGTCCTTGGCAAGACTGTGAAGGCGGCTCCACCATCAGAAGTCCAGCCACAGTCTGCTGCTAACCCTCACACTGGCTTTTACTTGCCACTGTTGATGCAGTTCTAGGCTGCGGAGGTATCTCAGTATCTGGCCAATTTAAAAAAGGGCCAATGGAACTATCTTAACCATCATTGCCATCAGCCCTAAGACAAAACGCACAGTCTCAAGATGGCTTGTGTCCCATGGCTAAAAAGTGTCAGACTGGTCCTGAAAGTCTCCACTGCTGGGTAAGAGGAACAGTATTGGTCCTGGAGTCTATGCTCATGCCCACAAACAATGACTTTCAGCATCTCTCAGCCAACACATCAAAAGCAAAGCTTTGGAATGTTGTATTAACTGTTGGCTACATTGTAACCACGGTTCTCTGAGTGAGGAGCTTATCCCCCTCCTTTTGGGAAAGAGGGGAGAAACTTTAGCCTGTAACCCCTTCATGTGATGCTTAAAGTGATCCCACCTGTGCCTTACATAAGACATATGGCCAGTTTGTGGTGTGTCTTTAACAATTATTCTCATAATTTGTCAGGTGGGGACTTGAACCTTGTACATATTGAATATGTCTCTGGCTGGAGATAAGGAAAAACTGTAACATATTGTTTTTATGTGGTATATTGTAGCTGGGCAACAGATGGCAAAATATTGCTCATAGCTGATACATGGTTGTCACTTTTTTTCCGATAAGTCAGAAATACAGTTGCCCCGTGAAGACCTATTTCACATTTTCTTATTGAGTAAGTCATAATAATGGCTATGAATGCAATACAGAAGGACATTTCAACATGAGAAACACCCTTTATTTTGTTTACCTAACGGAAAGTTTCCTTTATGAGAAAACAGGTTCCCCTTTCAGGTCTCAAAAACCAGAAAATGTAGAAGTAGATAAAGGAAGGAAATACCCAGTTTGAAAAATGTAGCTTACAGGCTGAATAAACGGAACAAGTGAGTTTGAAGAAACTCACAATCCTTTTTCCTGCTGCACACACTGTTCAAGCACAGATTTGAAGGTAAGATCTATTCATGAAATATAGGAATTTAAAAAGATTATATCATATATAAACTGCTTTAAGTGTTTGTTGTACCCATCCAATGCAAGGAAAAGTTAAATTCTATATCATCTTTGGTACACTGAGTTTTTATTGGACCTCAATGTTATGCGATTCATTGAAAGAAATTTAAGAACTTATGTTTGACATTGTTTTTGTCTTTGTATTAGATGACAATTTTTTTGCTGGTGGTGATGTTGGCATCATGTGCTGCACTTCGTAAAGGTAAAAAAAAAAAGAATCCTTGTTTCACAGACGGAAAACAGAAATGAAATGTTAAGCTGCATTTGAAAATGAACACTTTGTATGAGTCTCTATTTAAACTAAAGGTTACTTTTTTCCTATAAACCTGTGATGAAATACTCTCAGGTGTAAGAAACACTTTTTTTTCAGAATGTATTTTGGCAATATATTTCGAACATATTGCAAAATCTAAATAACATGTAATAGAATGAAAGAAAATGCAAGAATGAAAATGTTTGATTCTAGATGAGCTTTGAGGAAACCAAAATACATGGGATTCTTTGATTTAGATCACAACCTTTTCATTCTATAATACATTTCTTTCCTCAAAGCTTTAATGTTTTTATTAGAAACTTTAATGACAGAATTGTAACATATTGAACAATGCTAACATGAATGTCAACAGGTTCAAGGGTGTGAATTATTTCTGTTCCTCATTTAGTTTGTGATGACTTTCCTTCAAATTAAATGCTAAATTGTATCATAGAAGAAGTTTGTTATTAATGTGTTTGTTTTTTTGATCACTTCCTGAGCACTGCCGAGGTGCCCTTGAGCAAGGCATCGAACCCCTCACCAGCTCAGAGGCAGCTCTCCATTAGTGCATGTCCATATAGGATCCTGTTTGTGCAAGTGTATTTCAGCCTATGTGTGTGTAGCATGTTTCAATAGCGGAGTGTAACAATTGAATTTCCCCTTTTCTTCTTTCAGATCTGTCAGGTAAAATGTTCACCTTCCCTCAACAAACCAGCACCGCCTATGTAAAGCTGACCACATCCATTCAGAATTTGAGTGCTTTAACTGTTTGTCACAGGTAGGAATAAACGAGCAAAAGGCATTATAAAAAACTGATTGTATCTCTGACTGTGAAAAGCATCCTTCATGACAATATATTACTTATGTCAACAGGTCTTTTACAGACCTGAAGAGAGATCACGGCCTTTTCTCACTGGCTACGAGCACTTCTTCAAATGCCTTCCTGATTTTTTGGGATTCAACACATAATGAGATGGAGGTCCACGTCAGGGACAGAGCAGCAGAGTTTTCAGGGCTGGACTACAAGCTGAACATGTGGCACTCCATTTGTACCACATGGGACTCTGCATCTGGACTGGTGCAGCTGTGGTTTAATGGACAACCTTTGGTTAGGAAGTTTAGCAGCTCTGGATCAAGTACCCAAGGGCCCTTTATGATAATATTAGGACAGGTACAGTAATATTGATAAGGATACAAGTAATGGTGTTTCAATTAATTTTGTATATGGTAACTTCTGACTTATGTTGCTTCTTTCATGTAAATGTCTCAATAAGATTTTGATTTAATTTACTGAATCTCAGTCTTCTTTCATGTCTACAGGAGCAGGATTCACACGGTGGGGGGTTTGACCAGAAGCAATCGTTTGTTGGAATGATATCTGACGTCCACATGTGGGACTACACCCTCTCCGCTTGTGAGATTCACAACTACATGGACGATCTAAACTTCACTCCAGGAAATGTGCTCAACTGGAGGGCGCTGGAGTATCAAATTTTTGAAAGAGTTTTGGTAGAGAAAGAAGAATTAACCTGTCACTAAACCTGAAAACAATTCCATTTAATTTTTTTTTTTTTTTTTTTAAATCACACTTTCTTCAGTTTTACATCTAATGTTAAGTAGAGGAAGTCCGACTTAAAAGGCCACAATTAGGAAAAAAATACTGAGGCGCTTAAGCAAGGAATAATAGTTAAATGCGTATGCATTCATAATGGGAGTTAATGAGGTAACTTCAATGTAGGTGTGGAGGATAGAAAATATTCAAAGGTAGTTAGCTGACATGCTTTTATCAAAACATATCAAGATACTGTAGAGGTTTGGCACAGTGCAAGGAAATTGTTCTTTCATTTTAAATTACTTTTTTGATTGTGTACCTTTCAAATAACATGAGAAATGCAGAATTATCTGGTAGCACCAATTAGAGCTTAATTTTCTGTCTTGATCAAATCAAAATAATGTTTCTGTAATTTGATGTACAATGTAAAAATACCATCAATTAAATAAAAGTTTGATGATGGGGTGGATCTGATGGTGTGATTTTGTGAATCCTTATATCCAGTGTAATATGTAGACAGTCTGAAAAAGTCCAACATGGGTAGGGTAGATGAAATGTGAATGCATGTTTAATGGGAAGTATGGAGGAAACATTTCTAATTAAAGTCCTGGAGTTCAGAAAGTGTTAAGATACAGTATTTAGTAACTAAGATACACTTTCAGCATAGTGTAAGAATGAAGCATGCAGAATTCACATGTAGCAGCATATACAACCAAACTATCAATGTCTTTGCAAGATAAAAATTATATATTTTTATGAACAATGTAAACAGTAAGGCCTGCATACACTGTACTAGTGTAATAATGTGGTGGTCGAATGTCAAACTCACACTGTGAGTTGTAGGTGAAATGTTTCAAACACACAACCTAAGCTGTGATTTATGTGCTTACACTGATTGTACCGCTGAGTGGTAACACTGTACGTGTTGAATCAGGAAAAGGAACACACATACTCAGTAACAAAGGTGGGCAATAACCGTAAAAACTTTGATATTAGTTAATCCTGTTAATATTTTACTTAAGTAAGAGTGAACTGACGTGATTTGATATACTGTATAATCCCCCACAACTTGTATTTTCTCAATATCACCATCATTTAAACAAGTGCTGTTCTGTGTAGCCTAAAAAGCTACGATAAAGAAATCTTTAGTTTTACTTCCTGTTTAGTTTTCAGAACTAATACAATGTTTTTCAGCACTTTTTCCTGTGTATAGAGGAAGGTGGTGCTTAACAAGAGCAACAGTTATGAAATATTGATTCCTTAAAAAAACGTACAGTTACAAAGACCCAAAGAACAACAGCAGCAAATCCAGAGAGGAGTAAAATGCCAGCTCTTATCCTAGCCAGGGTAGCAGTTAATGTATTTCATCTTATAGGTAGATATTGTGTTGTTACACAAGCAACACATCATATATGACTATTCGACAACAAGCATTTTTACATTAAAATAAATACTCGACCTCTTTACTAAAAAAAAAAAAAACAACTCCAGGGCATGGGTCTTGATGCATTTCTGATGTTACAAAATTACACCAAAATATTTTCCAACCAATCAGCCCTTAATGTTGTCAAGTTTCAGATTTGTGTCTCATCAAGATGAGGATGAAGAAAACACAAAATATCACTTGCTTGTCCCGAGTGATCCATATTTTATCTGTAGATGCAAATGAATTTAAGTTATAGATATTATAAATGTGAATACAGAGATGATTGATATGAATATGATCGTATTAACAAGAATTAATATATCATAAATACAAGAATGCACCTGTACTTGCTTGCCTGTCTATGAAAATATGATTCTCTATAATAAGGATTGACTTGAAAAATACAATTGTCAGATGTTATCTTTTTCACTTATCTTCATGGGGTAACTTTTCATATTTTTACAATGCAGAAGAAAGACTGTTTCATGAGACACATCCTTTAATCTGTTGATTCAGCAGAAAACATTCTTAATGGACAAAAAAATTGCTACATTTCATGTTTCAGGAAGCAAAAAATGTAGAAGTAGATAAAGGAAGGAAACAAAGCCACAAAGATGTGCAGGCAGAGAAAAGGGAACAAAGAAGGGAACAATTAGGTTTACAAAAACATGACATCCTTTTCCCTGCTGCCCACACTCCAAGCATAGATTTCAAGGTAAGATCCAAACACTAAATACTGCAAATACAGGACTTTACTGAGATTCTATAGATAAATAACTTTGAGTTATTTAGTGTAGCAGACCAATGCAAGGAAAATATCAATTATATGTAATGTTTGAGACACGGGATATTGAAAGGAAGTGTGAGATTACTATGGAAGGACAACATTTTTTTTGTCTTTGTATTAGATGAAGTTTCTGTTGCTGGCGCTGATGCTGACATCATGTTCTGCAAGTCCTCAAGGTAAAAGCAATTCTTGTCTGACAGAGAGAAAAGTGAAATAAAATGTTTCGCCATAATAAACTCATAAAAAATGAAAGCATTTTAGTGAAGGTCAACATTCCAGTAAAGTTACAATGTCCTTTACAGGTATATGTAGTTTTTTTTTTTTTTTTTTGTCATTGTTTGAATCTTTTCATTCCTTAATATTTTATATTTCAAAGATGTTCGTAATAAAACAATACAAAGAGTTGATTAACATGAATTCTCTAAGGAAGTTTAATTCTTGATAAGACTTGAAAAAAGGGTGAAGTACTCTTGTTTAGTTTGTTTGTTTATTGTTGTTGTTGCTTAGTTGTGCTTTCCTGTTTTATTTTGTATTTTGTATCCTTGTGTATTTTTCTGTTGATATTCCTTAGTTCTAGTTTTCAGTGCTTTGTGTTATATTTTGTAGTTTCTCCCAGTTTTCTCCTTGTGGATATTTTGGTTGGATTTTGATTAACTTTGTTTTGGAACTTCAAAAAGTCACCCTTTTTTTTTGCCTTTTTCTTTTATGTTTCATTAAATATTTTGGTTTTCTGCAATTGGGTCTACCTCTTTGACAGAGGGGGGAAGTAAGAGAAGAAACACTAGACATGATACTAAGAGGGAAAATAAAACTAAGGCCTAGTCGACACGTAGGCAGTTATTTTTTTTAACAGAGGAGGATATTATACAAATCCTGACAGAACAAAAGAATACAGAATTAACACACAAATGACCCATGACATAACAAGCATTTCATCAACTTCTGTAACTATAATAACCCCTGCCATCCCAAATACAATATCCATGTTATAGATTAGTATAGCACCACAGTGTCCCCAGCCAGCATAGGTCTTTGTGTACTCCATCACTTCTAGCCATGGCCATCATTTATATATGTTCCTTATTTCCTGTGTAATTAATTTTTCCCAACAAAAATGCAATAAATGTATTTAGAAACAAGTTAGTTTCCAGAGTTTTAAATATGATTATTTGAATGATGATGAATTATGATTTTGGTCAACCTCTATCCTCCCCATAAGGGTTAAAATAATAATCTGTGCTGAAAAACAAACACACCAATAAATATTTTTTTTTTTTTCATTCTTCTTTTAGATCTGTCGGGTAAAATGTTCACCTTCCCTCTGAAAACCAACAGCGCCTATGTGAGGCCGACTTCATCTGTGCGTGATTTGATTGCTTTTACCGTCTGTCACAGGTAGAAGTGTAAATGTAAAACGCACAAAAAAAAACTTCACTGAATCTCTGGCTGTGAAAAGCATCATTCATGACAATATATTACTTATGTCTACAGGACTTTTACAGACCTGAAGAGAGATCACGCCCTTTTCTCACTGGCTACGCCCAATAATCCAAATGCCATCCTGGTTTTTTGGCATTCATCAGTGCAGGAGATGGAGGCCACCGTCATGGACCACCCATTAAAGTTGGTAGGGCTGGACTACAAGCTGAACATGTGGCACTCTATTTGTACCACATGGGACTCTACATCTGGACTATTGCAGCTGTGGTTTGATGGAAAACCTTTGAGTAGGAAATTCGCCACCTCTGGATCAAGTATCCGAGGCTCCTTAATAATTATATTAGGACAGGTACAGTAATACTTATTAGGATAAAAAGTAATTGTGTTTCAATTAATTTAGTAAACTAACTTCTGCATTTTTTTGCTCTTAATGTAAATGTTTTGATAAGATTTCGGGTTTGATTTACTGAATCTCAGTCTTCTTTCATGTCTACAGGAGCAGGATTCACACGGTGGGGGGTTTGACATTAATCAGTCATTTGTTGGAATGATGTCTGACGTCCACATGTGGGACTACACCCTCTCTGCTTGTGAGATTCACAACTACATGGACGATCTAAACTTCACTCCAGGAAATGTGCTCAACTGGATGGCGCTGGAGTTCCAGATTTTTGGCAGAGTTATTGTAGAAAAAGACGTGATGACCTGTCAAAAAGCATGAAAACAATTACATTGAAATTTGAGAAAGTTAAAAAAAAAAAAAAAAAACATTTTCTGTACTTCTACATCTAATGTAAAGTAAAGGTTCCAGGCTGCTTAAGCAAGGTAAAAAAAAGTCAAATGGGTATGCATTTATGGGAATTAAGAAGGACAATTTTGTGTAGGTGTAGTGGTCATACAATGTTGAAAGACCTGCTATCATTAAAAAATATCAAGATTAACTTTTGATGAGTGAAATTCTTGAATTTTGAACTCAAATTATATTTTTAAAACTTAACTGTCAATGTCTTGCTAAATCAAGATAATGTTATTGGTATATGATGTCTATGTAATCTTATAATTTGATGATATCTCCAAATAAATTAAATGTTGAACCAATAAATTCATCTGTTTAAATTTGGTTATATACATTTTGTATATTACACGTTTTTGTTTAATGTGTTTGTCTCTTTCTTGCTCTTCTCTAATAATTTTCTGTTCCAGCTAAAATAGTTTTTTAGACTTGTCTATTTCACCAGCAGATTAATATCTCACTTTTAATGGTAGATATGATAGATATAAACTTACATCAATGTAAGGTGTTGTAACTCACTTTCACACAACTTTCAACCTGTTGAAAAACCAGTGCATAAGGGCCCACGTGCAGAACACGGACACAGGGATTGGTAATGAGTGTTATTGTAGGGAAAAGGAAGATGAAGATGGAGATGGGAGAATGATGTCCAAAAGGTTGTAGAGGGAAAGGAGATATGGCAGGTTGGGAGAAGGTGAGGGTGTGAGTGAGGCTTATGTGGGCAGGTTTAGGTTGATGGCTTGACAGGATGGCAGATGGGTTGAGTGGTGAAGCTAAGCACAAACATAATCCATTGAGTGGTCAGTTGAACCATAAACAGATTCCTTAAGAAGTGACACATTGAAAGTTTGGTGAATTCTCTTGGTAATTTAAGTTTGACAACAGCGGGATTGATTACAGGGTCTATTTCATAAAGGACCACAAAACTGGGAGTCAGTTTCTTGGAGTCAGTTTGCAGAGGGAAGAGTAGAGCCGAAGTTTCTTACCTTGGTAGTTCAGTGCTCTGGTCCAGTGGTGATTGGACGACTGTGGCTCAGATGGTGGAGTCGGCCATCTCTCAACCACAAGGTTGGGAGTTCGATCCACAGCTCCTGAAGCAACATGTCCGATTTGGCCTTGGGCAAGACACTTAACCCCACATTGCTCCTGTAGCTTGGTCTGGTCACTTTACCTAGCAAACTCTGCCATCAGTGTGTGAATGTTTAGGTGTGGCATGCAGTGTAAAAGCGCTTTGAGAAGTCAGAAGACAAAAAAAAGCGCTATACAAGCTCAAATCCATTTACTATTTACCATCAATGGTGCGCTATTTTTCATCACTGACTGGATTCATTGACTGTCCTTTTAATCCAAGCGGCAACCTCTGGTCTTGAAAAATGACGCCAATACAATAAAGCAATCGTTCATTGGCATGATGTCTGTTGTTCACATGTGGGACTACACACTACACTTCCACATTGTTTTCTCTATTTGATATTTTATTATCATGGTTAGCTTTTTTGTTAGGCACGTCATGACAAAACAATTAGCCATTTTTACTTTACAAGTGTTCATTTCACCAAATATCGCATATTGCATAAAACGTGGTGAAGCTGAAACCAGTAGATGTTTTTTATTCAATAATTAATGGTTTTGTGAAACATTTCATAAAAAAATATTGTATAGATTTTCTTTTGGAGATCTTAGAAAGATGAAAAATAATATGACTACACCTTATGTATTCTTCTTTTCAATTTTCTTCCTGTGGAAAAGAACAAAAATGTTTTGCACGGTGTTGTCATATTAGTGTGCTCTTGTATCAGATAAATATTGAGCATCCAGGTGTGTTGTTCACAGAAGAATCCTGGGTGAATTCTCATTGAAATTTGCTCCATTATAAGCATTTAATCCTCACCCACCGTTGATACTGTTTATTTATGCTCATGCAAGCTTTTAAAGCTGGACACACATAATGTTATTATGGGCTTCATGTCAGCCTTAAGGTGTGTGAAATTAAACATGAGTGTAAAAGATGATTTAAACTAGCATACTTGACAGCTTTTCTGTAGGTTGTTACCTCTTTAATCCTTCCCAGGGCAATATTGGAATAGTCTAACAGTATTAACATCTACATGCACAAACACAGAACCTAAAACATCCAAACTGCAGTATAGGCTAAAAAGGAATCAACCGTAGTCCCTTTCATATAGCAGAATAATACAATGCAAGAGGGTTGAGGGGACAGATTGCATGATAACAGATAATGCTGTTAGATGCTTGATAATAACAGGATGTCTCTGACTAAATGTTCTGCTTGGGGCAGGAAAGCTGCTGCAGATTCCCTTTGTAGCATTGGGCTCAAAGAGACAGCTGCTCCCTCCTCTCTCCCTTCCTCTGCATCTCGATCATAATATTAATTTCTGTGATATGCATTCTGACTTTCCTTAATGTTCCACACCAGCCTTTCTGTACCTGCACAGAAGTTGCCCATGCTGAGTCTGGGTCATAAGTGCACCCAGCAGCTTTGTTACCACTGGCATTGAATTATTTCCTTATGTATGCTGTTATAGTGTACACAATATGCATACTCTAAACAATTATTGTGATTGTGTCAGACTCTTAAGAGTTCAGCTTGTCACTAGTCTGAATGGCCATCTGAAAATAAGTGTTACTTATACAAATATATTTTTTTTTCAGGTGACCCAAATGAGTCATAAGATGATGACATTCTCCTATTTTACTTTTGAAAATACATTTTTTTGGCCATTTGTGCCATACGTTAGTACAGTGAAGAGAGACAGGAACCTGCTAGGCTTAATCGATCATCTAGCGTCTTTAATTGAGAATTATTGCAAATGAATTTCACAAGCGGTTTAAAAAACTAAATATGTTTGTCAGGACTAATCTTTAAAATTAATTGTAAAAAACCTGCTTAATGTTTTAAAGCGGATCAACCACCAAACAGGAGTTTACAATATAGTTTAATTGGTAACACTTTAGAATAAGGGTACATTAATTAACATTAGTTAAGGCATTATAAAGCCTTAACTAATGGTTACTAACAGTTAACTAATGTGTCTAGTAATCATTTATTAAGGGTGTTCATGTTAAGAACTGTATTAATTAATGCATTATTTAATCCTTATTAAGGATGCTATTAACATTAATTAATGCAGCAATAAGCCTTAATTAACAGTGAATTCATACAATAATGAACATTAAGAAACCCTTAACAGATGTCTTTTGTTAACATTAATTCAGGGTTTATATGTTAATTAAGCCTAATAACTAATATTACTAAATGGTTGATAAAGATGTTCATTTAGATGCATGTCTTGAGGTTCACAGCTAAGTCATAGCATTAAGACAAAAGTGTTTGTTTTTATTCATGTTTATTTAAGGCTAATGACTGTTCACTTACTTGTCCATCCTCCAACTGATTACTTATTTTTGGCAAAGTTTGAGATCAGTGGACAACACCATGGTCTTCATGTAGACGTCAGATTGTTCCTTTATCTTCATGTAGACGTTCTTAACTTACAGCCTAACCAAACATTATTGTTGATGTTATATAAGCATTACTTAACCATGATTAACCATTTATTGATGCTCTGAAAAAGTATTACTTCACCATAATTGACAATTTATTGATGCTTTGAATAAGCATTACCAAACCATAATAGACCATTTTTTATGAATTTGGTCACAAAATGCATTAAAAATGGTTAATTATGGTTAAGCAATACTTATTCAGCACTTTTAAGCATTTATAAACTGTTACTTTTGCCACAGCTGTGGCCGAAATTAGAACATATAAGCAAAACATTGGAAAGAGTCAGAGAATTTCAGTAGTATATGAACAAATTTTCTGCTTGAGGCCCACTTTTTTTTACATTGATTGTTATACAAGTGATCTTCAACAAGTTCCATCACCATCCTTCTGCCAGTGGTTTGCTCCTTGGAACACTGACTATGTTTACATGCACACCATATTCCTGTATTAATCGGAATAATGACAATATTCTGATTGCGTAGGAGTCATGTAAACACCTTATTCCAATTGCCATAACCCGATTAAGCTCATTTTCCGATTATTAAAAACCTGAATAAGACCCCTGGTATAAGCCTGTATCAACCCGAATATTGGGTCATGTAAACACATTAGTCGGAATAGGCTATGCTCCTGAATACGCTCCTTCAAGGATTTGTTTACTTCTGCGCATGCTCAACATGGCGAGAAAACACGCAAAAGACCTTATACTTTTGGGGCGAGGAGGAGAAAAATTTACTACTACAACTACTACTCGCGCCCACCAGTCCTGGCTGTGAACTTTCATCCATAGTCTTCGCGGGTCTTCTGGTTGGTATCCATGGCATAACGCATAGAGCTCCGTTTACCATAGCCTCACGTTCTTGTCGGCCACGGTTGAGGAGGTGAATGAGAACGAGTGTTCCAGTCACACTTTGACTGAGAAGTGATAAGAATATTACACAGTATAGCGCAAAAGCAAGCATCTTGGACTATTTGGTGGAAATGCCAATACAGTGCGTGCGAAAAGAACGCCCCTAGATGACGACTTGTCATGACGCTACTACTACGGTTTATTCGGAATATACTGATTAACATGTAAACGGGAATATTCCAGTAGCTCAGCACTCTGCGGAGCATGTAAACACTTTTTTCGGAATATTGCCTAAACCAGAATATGGACCTTAATAGGAAAATGGTGTGCATGTAAACGTGGTCAATGTCTGTGTAGTTTCTCAGGTCATGGTGAATTTGAAGCTTTATCCAAAGGCAACTGGACTTGGTTGAAGATCTTGAAGACGTTTTACCTCTCCTCAAAAGGCTTTCCAAGTTCTAAACTAAATAGCATTTTAAGCCTCTGTTGATCATTAGCATGCTACTTTAATGTGAGTCAAGGACGACTCACATGAAAGTAGTTAGCTGGTTTAGCCTAGAGTCATTAAGCCAACCGGTCGGTTTTGGTCACATGTTCCAAGGTGAGAGCATTGTAGGTTGGTGAAAGATGGAGTCTCAAACCACCACCGTGGCTAAGGGATGGTTTTTCCATCCAAAGAATACCAATCCTTTTCCCCCCCTACATACAGTCAAACATTGTAACAACAACAACTGATAAACCCTCCACAAGATAAACAAGAGTGTTGCCCTGTTTCTCTCTCTTCCACTTACTCCATCTCACCCTGTCTGGAAGCTCAGTTAAACTCAGTTTTTTATTTCCTGCTGAGTTAAGAGTTCTCTGTCTCGTTGCCTCGGTCTGATCCCTCTCCAGGGTTCATCCCTCTGGCTGATCTGATGCTGTTCTCCAGGAAACA